AGGGCTGTGCGTACGCTTGGGCCGAGTCGGCAGATGCGACGGTAGCGGATGAGCCTCCGGGAAGAGCGGCATTATAACGAGTTGGCCAGCCTACCCAACACTATTAGACTGTTATATTATTAACTAGAAGAGAGACGCACCAGTCTGGGTGAAGATGATCTTTTTGCTGCCACCGGTGTGCTGGACGACCCAGTCGACAGGATCAAACACCGAGTTTCTCGCACCAGATCCATACGTGACATTAGGGTCAAAGTAGGGAAGGGGGTCTAGAGGGGGTTACCTTCTAAGCATTATATTGTGGGTCATAAAAGTAGGAGACTCACGGGCGTGGATGACTTCTTCGGCGTCGAGGACGGTTTGGGCATTGTCGATTTGGCTATAAGCATAGACGATTTCGGAGGTGGACACTTTGATGCCAAAGCGACCCACGACGCTCTTGATGTAGTTGATCTCGTTAGCCATGGATCCAGCGTCCAACAACTACACGGTCGTCAGTACTAGTAACAAGAATTAGAAGGGCGACGTACGTGGAAGAAGAGAGCTTCGGAACCCAAGTCGACGGAACGAACGACATAGGGAGCATATGGATTGTTCTGAATGACATTCAAAATCCTTTCCCTCCTTCCCCTCCACGAATCCGAACCATCAAAGCTGCACCACCATCATCAGCAAAATATTATTGAATAAATACGGCCAACTCACTCCATCCAGATGGTGGAATAGACACCGAGACCTTGTTGGTAGGCCGTGGATACAAAGCGGTCAAAGAATCCATCATCATAATCGCACGAGCCATACATGCGAACGTAGCGCGCTCCAAATTCCGAGCGCATCCGGCCAAAATCGTTCGCGAGCGTTCCGGCGTCTGGGCACCCAGACACCCTAACCACAATTCAGTAAATATTCAAATGTAGTGATTTTTTTAATGAACTAACCCGTATGTGAAACCTAGGAAACCGTTTTCCTGGTCGAGAGAGCACCACCATCCAGAGGGCGAGACGGACGGCACACCATTACCATCCGGTTTCTTATTAGGGAAGCATCTAGTTACACATTAGCATTCCATCTCTTCCCCATTTTCATGCTCGTACTCACTCTCCTGGGGGAGGGGCAGAGGCGGCTTGGACGGTGGGCGCAGGATCGGCAGAAGACGAGCTAGACGAAGTGGTCGAGCTAGGAGCAGGAGCAGTGCATTTACGGGCACGGGTAGCTCTGCGATGCACACTGAGCAGACTACGGTGACGGTGAGCAACACCAACACCATTTCCGGTGAACGAGCTACGTGCTTCGCACGTAATTATCGTGACGAGTAGAGTTAGGAGTGAAACGAGTGGCAGCCTCATCGTCGACGTTAAAGAGAGGCGAGAGTACAAGTAGTAGAGGTGAGGGAGGTCGTGAAAGGGAGTAAGAATGCGTCGCCTGGTTGCGAGTGTTTATATGTCACAGACTGACACGGCTAGCATCGGAGACACCCGCCTCTTGTTCTCCGTTGGAGCACTCTTTGACACGTCTTCGAGCGGGTACATTTTGCACTCCATCCGTCAAAATACGAGTCGGTATCTATTTTATTTTGATTTTTAACTGCAGAGGTTTCAAAGTGGGCCTAGGATGGGCAGCGTGCTGCAACGGCCGCCGCCTCCGTATGGATGGCCTCGGCTGGCCGATCACTCCATTCCCAGTACCTACAAACTGATCATCAGAAGACAAGAACACGCTATTTTTGGATCGCCAAGCTCACGGCCAGATTCGCATCTCCAAGTTCCAGAAAATTAAAAGAAAAAAGTATCAAGTATCACAAGTTTTAACTCGTTTATACTCGAGTTATTCGCCTTGTTGGACGAGTCGCGTGGGAATGACATCTGCTTCCATCATGCCCCGGCATCTTGCCCCTCGCACCACTACCTCGGTAGTACCTTAGCACCATTTTATAAAACTGTCCATTGTAAAGAACGTAGCAAGAACACACAGTCCTAATCCCAAGAAAATTGTCCAAGTAGATATTTACCGACGCTAGCACGCCGTCCGCGGATGGAAATTCCACTTTGGGTTGCCATCCCAGTCCAACAGTCCCCACCCATCCAGCATGGCGTCCTCCCAAATATGCCAAAACCATCCTACTCCTCCTTGCGGTGTGATCTGCTTTAGTCCTTCGCATGAATTATCGAGGAGTTGGTAGTACGCTT